TCCGTCCATTTTTCTCTCTCTCTGGTGAGTCTAGGTCAATCTTTTTTTTCTTGAATAAGAGGATTTTAAGAAATCCATCCACGTATTTACCCTCAATAAAATATCATCCCCTAACAATCGCTAAGTATAAAACCTAATGAAGTTGAATTGGCTTATTTATATTATTTACCAAAAGTCCATAAGCCTGGTACTCCTCTACGACCAATTATAAGTGGACTTAAGCATCCTACAATTAAAATATCTAAATTTCTGGATGATTTATTAAGACCATTGTTTGATCGAATGGCCCAGGAAGCAACGGTTTCTTCTGGCTTTGAATTAGTTAAAAAATTAGACATATGGTCAAAACTAAATATGGATGGAAATACGATATTTTGTACTATTGATGTAGTGGATTTATATACAATGATTCCACAAGTAGAAGGAGTACTTTCTCTCAAGAAAATGTTAGATTATTTGAAATTGAAGAAAGTTGGTGGTTTAAAAATAGAAACTATTACTCGATTAAGTCGATTTTTTATGCAAAATAATTATTTTTCTTATGATGGCCAATTTTATCATCAAATTAGAGGTGGAGCTATGGGATCCCCGTTAACTTTGACTATGGCGAATTGTTATATGTTCCTTTTTGAACGACGAATAGCCACACAAATTAAAAATAGCGGTGGACTCTATTTTCGATATATTGGTGATTTATTTATAGTAATTAATTGGCCCGCTAGACACTTCTTGAAACAAATCGACAGATGGAATAAATTTGATGAAAATATTAAATTAAATGCGAACGTTGGTTCTTTTATGAATTTTCTTGATTTATATATGGAAAATTGTGACGGTATATTATTTACTACTGTTTATCAAAAGCCGTCTTATGAGCCGTATTACTTGCCATTCAATAGTATTCATCCATTACATATGAAAAAGAATATACCTTTTACGATGTTACTTAGAGTGATCCAGTATTGTTCTACATTTCAAATATATTTGGATGAACGCGAAAAATTACGTATAGCTTTACTACTCAATAAATATCCGAACAAATTAATTGAAGAACAGTTTAATAATGTTCTTTTGAGATATAATATTGATCAGCCATTAACAAATTTCAATTATGATAAATATCGTCAAAAAGTAATAGATTCACCCATAAAAGAAAAAGTTATGATTGATTATGAAGCAGTTATGTTTATACATTTCACATACAGTTCTACCATGAAAACTTTTCCTGTTAAATTCCATCAACTTTGGAATAAATACTTTGAGGAATCTCCTATTAATGAAGTTAGACCTATTTTAGGTACCCGAAATGTGAAGAATATACAAAGACGTCTAGCCTTTAATTAAAAGCTAAATTATAAATGTTATGTATGGCTTCAACTTATATAACTTAATATTTTTCATTACGTCTTAGTTATTTTGACGTCTTTTTAAATTTTGAAATAAAAATAAACATATTTTGTACTTATGATAAGTATCACTAGTCGACGTTCTTGATCCTGTTCTTTCCAGATTCTTGTTCTTCTTGATCAATCAGGCAAGATTCTTTTTTCATATATGACGGCCAAGATTCTTGTCTGAAAAAACAGATCTTGACTTTCTGTAAGAATCATGTAGACCGAAGCTTGCCTGATGAGGCAAGAATCATGGTGTCAGGAAAGATTCTTGTGTTCTTGAATTTCTACCTGATTCTTTTATTTCTTGTATTTCTGGCTTGACTCTTTTTTCTTGTGTTTCTGGTCTGCTTCTTCCTACCTGGGAATTCTTTCTTGATTTCTTTTTTTTTCTTGTATGCGATATGTTTATCAGAAAAAGCAATAATATTTAAAAAACATCATTACATTAAAATAACGCGAGAAAAAATGATAAAAAATATTTTATTTACATAAAGATTTAATAAGAAGAATAATACGTAAAACATTTTTTTTACATTAAAATTATATAGTTACTTTTATAGTTCGTCATTTTTAATTGGCCTTCAGGAGCCAACAATGTGTGATCCATCACTAAGCCGTTGTTTTGATAATATCGTTATTGGATATTCTAAAATGGATTATAATTTAACTCGCTAAAATGAGTCAATAAATGCATCGTTACCATTAAATATTTTGACTTATCTGATATTGACATGCGACCCATACTTTTTTTGAAAATAATATCTTTTGTCCATTTAATTGAACATGATAATCGATGACTATCATTATGTAAAAATGAATGAATAACGTATAAAAGTTGATATATATAGATACATTCACACAAAGACATCACGTGACGTTTGTCTTGAAGATCAGACAAGAATCTTTTTTCTTTTCTGTCACAAGAGCCTTGTCTGAACTCCAAGAAATTCTAAGTATCTTGTAATTCCTTCCAGATTCTTGCTTTTCTTGATCAAGCAGTCAAGATTCTTTTATCTTGAATTTCAGGCAAGATTCTTTTTTCATTTTTCTGAAAAAGACTCTTCCCTGAAGTTCAAGATTAAAAGAATCTTGGCTGATTTATCAAGAAAAACAAGAATCTGGAAAGAACGATGGCAAGAACGTCGACTTGTGATATGTTTATTTTTGTATTCGATGTCGGAAATTATTCCCCAACAAATGTTGGGTTATTTAGTTTATATTAAAAAATTATTAATTAATATTCTATGTTGAAAATTATTTATCTGTTAAATGTTTGAGCAATTTTTATGTTAATATACATTATAAAGGTACTTTCCATTGTTAATTCGCTTTTAAATTCTTTATCAGTCTAATATGCTTGAACTTGATGTTAATGATATACTTTCATTATCTGATACAATCATATTTCAACTCAACCAATCTTAATAAAAAGAAGCTGCATTCGACAATCAAAACAATATTATGACGTCGAATGGTCAAACAAGTGACACTATTGTTCATATACAGACAAATATGCGATATGATTCCTTTAAAGGCTGTTATTCAAAGCCATTTTTCTATATTCATATCTTCAGAGACATATAGTGATACTGTATAAACAATAGGTGAACTGATCAACCTTTTAATTGCTGGCCATTAACCAATTCCATCAAGCAAAATTTATTGATCAAAATTTATTGATCAATTAATTATTCCTTCAATGGTGTTTATTATCTCGTTGTGACCTTTAATGTGTTAATTGGGTGAACATGCAAGTGAATGATGATGGCTTTTAATAGGATGTTATTTCCATTGGAATAGGATGATGTCTCGACTGATATTATCCAGTTAAAGGTTCACCATCACGTACACGTACTAATATATCGACAATAAAGTGCACCAGACTAGCAGATTGATTTGTATCTGAGAGATATAGATTGGTCTGTTTCTATTTAATATTGAACTTATAATAAGAAATCATATATTTCATCAAATAGAATTTATTGAAACAATTGAATTATCAATAATTACAAATTATTTAGTTAAAAGTTCACCATCATTTGCAAGTACAAATATATCGACGATATTACGATAATGATAAAGTCTTGTTTTCCTATTAATTTTTATGTATTTGTTTTCTATTAGTTGTAAAAAATTTTTGGGTGTAAAAAATTTGTTGTGTGTGAGTTTTTCTATTATCGTGTAGCTTTTATTCCAAAAACTTTGAAATTCTTAACATATTAACTTTTATGTCACTGCGTAGCTTTCATGATAATATTTGTTTTATTCGTGTAGTTAAAGTTTAATCAGTTTCTAAATATTTGTAATGCAGAGCCCTGATGAGTGTTTCATTATTTCAATAAAATAAACATGAAACGCGTCGGCGAAATTAAACTCTGCATTTTGTTTTCATAATTTGATAAAGCACGAATATTCAATTTGTCAAAATATAATTACGATTACATCGATTGCTGAAAAGCAAAAGTTGAGACTAGCAGATTGATTTGTATCAAAAAGAGATATAGATTGATCTGTTTCTAATTGATTTTCGTGAACCAACATGCAAGTGTTGTTGGTACAAGGTCAGAATACACCAGAAGAGGAACATTAACAAGTGACCAAAGAATAAATGGAATAGGAAAGACACGACGAGCTACGCGAATCGAACTCAATTGACGTATTCGAGTCGATTGAGATGTACATGCCCAACGATCAAATGCAGACAAACAAAGAAAACTCATCGCAACAGAAATTGTCACTTGAAAAAAAAACAACATTAACTTACAAGCAATGGATGAAACCGATGATGACGTAGATGGAATTATTTGAAGAAGCAAAATCAATAAGATATTCACATCGGATAATGATTGTCCCACAATATAATAAGTTGATGGAGATCGACGAAGCGATTTTATGCTAATGAATATTATTGCATTGAGTAACGCTGCTGGAACTCCGATTGAAAATAAAATAATTAGATTCCAAAATTTGATTTGAAGAGCTACTTCAAAGACTGATATTATATTTTTTGTAAAATCGGCTGAGCTCTTATACGAGTCTGCTTCAATCGCAATAAGATAAATCAAATGCACTATCACTCTGTGATTTTGTGCTCTCTTCTTCTTCTCTATCTTCTCTATGACATCTTCAAAGAAAATCTAATTTCAATACCTGCCAGGGACATCCCCAGATATGACAATAACAGCTAACTCATCACGGTCAACGCTTTCATCAAATTCTTTCAGATAAAAATAGCATTATTAGTATCTTGTCAAATATAATTTTATTTAATGCAATTCAAACGCCTTCTTTCCTGTATCTCTAAAACTCGTATAATCCACAATTAGTCGTTTGACATAAGTAGCCTGCTGGCTCATTTTCTATTCGTTTCTGACACTATTGTGGAAAAAAAGATCTTCTAAAAGATTGAGAAAATTAGATATTCATTTTGATGATGATCTGCGAACATGAAATATTATGGATAAGTTTTTCGAGTTCATTAGAATTTTTCTTTATGGAAGTATTTGTTCGGCTGCAATTATATGCGTAATTCATTTCAAAATATGTTTAATGCATCACAATCGTATTGATTGAAATGTATGAAGTAATGTTTGAGAAGAAAAAGAACGTCTTGTTTCCAAGAATTATGTTGTTCGTTGACATTTTTCTTTTTCATGAAAAACAGCGAAAAAAAAACTAAGCAAATCAAGAAAGATTTACTTCAGAAGAGTCTTCTTTTTGATAAACAAAATATTTGTTGATTGAAACTCGCCACAGAAAATGTTTGCCATGAAGACTATTGATGATGATTTTTCAAAAAGTACCATTAAACTGATTATATTCATTGTTATTACAATTTTTCATTAGTGCTTTTACAATTATTTGTGTTAAACAAGCAGAAATTAGAAACATGCTGTCATTTGAGATAAAACAACTTTAGATGATGATTATTGGTCGAGCATATTCAATGACGCAAGTGGTGCTGCCACCTTTTGAAGTGTGAAAAGGAGAAAATCATTTATAAAGACCAGA